CTTTTGACTTGAATAGCTCGGCTCATGTCTGACCGGCCTCTCCATCCGCATGCAGAAAGAGGTCAAGGAAGTAGAGTTGCTGCAGGCCCAACAGCGTTATTTCGCCCACCTGACCGCAGTCGCCAACAACTCATCTGAGGTACCTCAACGCCTGTGCTCTTAGATAGGACCGGGCTGACGTGGTGTGCCTTCTCCAGGTGAATGCCGACTGGACCAATGCCCTCTTGGGCCGCATCTTCTGGGGAATTCACAACCATCCCGTGTTCCTCAAGCTCATCACCGAGAAGCTGCAGAAGAAGATGGCCAAGCTGAAGAAGCCCAAATTTGTGGTAGAGTAACCTTCACCCGGTACTGCCCTGTGGCGCGTGCAAGACCTTTTCTTAACAGCTTCATTGGCCAACGTAGGAGTCCATTTCGGTCACGGATGTTGGATTTGGACCCAACCTGCCACTGTTCAGCAACATCAAGATCATCTCCGTTTCTCCTCAGGGCTCTCTGGTACTCTTTTCTCGTAACCAAACTGTGTGAGCCTATGCACGATCTAACAGAATTCTGGTTAACACCTCAGGCGTTTGACGGAGACGTTTACTACCATGGAGGATTCAACCTGATGATCGATATCAACCTGCGCATTGATCTTCCCATTGGAGGCGTCAGTGTTGAGGTGCCCATTCGTGCCTCAGTTGTCGTCAAGGCCTTTGCCGGCAGGGTACACACCTCCCACCACTACGACTTGGGCGCAAGAGTGCTGATATCCGTTACTTCAGGGCCACATCCAAGTCGCTCCGCCTCCCGCCAAGCGGGCATGGATCGGTTTTTACGGTGAGCCGCGCGTGGACATGGACATCAAAATCGAAGTCGGTATGGGCAAATGGTGTCTCATTCCAAGCAATCAACTTGAACTTATCACCTTCCTCTACATTCCTCAGGCAAAAACCTTTCTTTGGTGAACATTCCTTCGATCGCCAACATTGTGATCAACAAGATCAAGCAGCAGCTGATCAAGAAGCTGGTGCTTCCCGCAATGGATGACTGGCCTCTCCCTCACATACCATCGACCAAAACGACCACGGTATGCTCGAAGCTGTCAACACACCTTTCAGTTTTTTGGTGCTTAAATTTTCTCTCATATCTTGCAGGAGGTGCTCAACGCTGAGAAGGATGCTGCTCACCCTGGGGCACTGCTCTCTTCTTCTGCTGAAGCCGGCATCACTGCGTCGTCGCTCAACCAATCCTCCAGCGCGTCATCCCCAATTCTCTCGCGCACGAGCACACAGCCAGAGAGAGCAACTTCCTTCTCCGGCGCCTCGTCGTCCTCACCGTTGTCCTCTTCGTCGTCTTCGATCGCTACCAAACGTCATTCGGTGGCCGCCATACCCGCCCAGGGCAACACCACCACCGCGACCAAGGCGTCACAACCTATCACAGTCCGTACCCGCACCTCACCGAGGGACAGGGGCACCGTCAAGGACTCCTCTGCGAGCAATCCACCGCCACTGCCCTCGCGGACTCGGAGCGCGCCGACTCAGGCCTCCAACCAGCCGGCGTCGCCCATGGTCGAGACGGGCTCCCCAGGAGCCTACAAGCCGCTCATGACCTACCCTGCCGGCGGGCCGCCGCCTCCCGCCAAGGAGGGCGCCAGCACGATCGCCGGCCTGCAGCTGCCGTCGTCGCCTCCGCGCGGTCAGTGGAACAGCACCGACGAGTGGTACCAGAACTCGCTGATGGCCTTGCGCGACCGCGACGACAGCGACGATGACAGCGACCGCGAATCGGACAAGCGGGCCAGTGAGAAACGCGAGCGGGCCGAGAGAGAAAGGAAAGAGAAGGAACAAAGGGAAGCGGAAGAAAAGGAGAAGAAGCTCAAGGAAGGTAAGGAAAGAGAAGAGCGCGAGAAGCAGGAGAAGGAAACGAAGGAAAAGAAGGAAAAGGAAGAGCAGGAGCGACGCGAAAAGCACGAGAAGGAGGCCAAGGAGGAGAAGGAGCGACTCGAGAGAGTGCGTGCGAAGGAGGAGAAAGATAGGCGGGAAAAGGAAAGAGAGGAGAGGGAAAAGCGTGAGCGAGAGGAAGAGGGCAAGACCGAGGCCGACTCGCCGCTCGCTGAAGAAAAGCCCACAAGATCGAGCGAGGACATACGCGAGATTGAACAATTCACCCCGATCGAGAAGCGCGAAGAAAACAGCGACGTCGACGAGGAAAACCGACGACGTGAGTTGGAAGACAAGGAGAGGAAGGAAAGAGAGGAAAGTGCGCGGAAGGAGAAGGAAAAGAAGGAGCAAGAGAAGGAAAGGGAGAAGCTCGCCGAGCAGGAGAGGAAGGAAAGGGAGGAGAAGGAACGGCACGAGAGGGAAAGGACGGGCATGGTGCCCAAGCACGAGGTGTTCACCGATCCGCTCAGCTCCTCGCTCAACAGCCCCATCGTCGACGAGATCTTTGGTAGCGGCAGCAGCAGCGGCGAGGACTCTCCGCCGCCCAGGCGACAGGCCACGTTTGACGGCAACATGCCCACCCCGGTCCTCCCTGACGCGCCCCATCGACGACGTAGCGGCAGCCTCAACTTCGACGCCACCACAGGATCGCCCGCCAAACCCCCGGCCCTGCCTCCACGAGTGCACGAGACCGCTCCCACGAGCAGTCAGCCGAAGCCAGCACAGCAACCGGCGAGCAAGTACCGAACGACGTCGCACATGTTTGAGGACTTTGACTTCTCCTTCCCGTCTACGACGCCGCCCGCGACCGGCTCGCCGCTCGCGTCCACGTCGGCTCCTCACGCACCGGTGCCGACTCCGTCGACGTCGTCGTTCCTCGGGCTCACCACCCCGGCCGTGCCCATGACCTCATCGCCGCCGTCTCCCCGCCGCTCCCTGCCTCCCTCCTCCGCCTCCAACACCGACAACCTTTTCTCCTTCTCTGCTTCCACTTCGTCGGCCGCTTCATCCTCCTCCGCCCCGTCCACCAAGCCGGGAGCCAAGAAGGGTCTGTTCAACTTGGACATGGACGACCTCTTCAACAAGGTGCGTGTTGCTTCTCGTCCCTCCCCACCCCACGCGTGAGCCTCAACTCATTTTTCATTCTCATTCTCATTGTCACCTCTTCTCTTGGCCAGGTCGAGAAGCAACATCATCTGGTCGAGAAGTTCAAGGCGGCCAAGACGAGGGCACAGAACGCCTGGAACCACACCAACCCCGACCAAGACCTGTAGAGGCGCTACGGCGTGGACCACCACAGGCGTACGATGTGTACATAACGCAATCCTGATAAACCTCGGGAGAGGTCGAC